AGGGCTGGCCGAATCCAGCGCGGCCAATGCAGAAGGTAAGCTGGCCTCTGCGCTGCCGCCGAACACGAGGCACGCGAAGCGCGAGGCGAGGCGAGGCGAGGCGAGGCGGGCACGAGGCGGGGCACGAGGCGAGGCGAGGCGGGGCGAGGCTACGACGCAGGAGGGCAGGGAGCCGAGGAGGCAGAAAAGCCCAGGGCCGCGGGATGCAGCATGCCGCGGGCTCCCTGCCGGCGCCGCGTTCGCCCAGGGGGCCTTCGAGCGTCGCCGGCGCGCTGCAGAGGAGCCAGCTCTGAGGCCCCTAGCACGCCTTCTGGTAGACGTGCACGAAAGGGTGCAGGACTTCGTACCAGCCCCCGGGCGCGGTGTGGTTCAGTCTCTCCGCGTCCTCCGCCTGGGAGTCCTGGCGGCGGCCATGCTGGAGCGTCACGCCCGCCTCCTCCTCGATGATCTGCTGGTACCTCTGCTTGCTCAGGTATATGGTGTTCTCGCCCTCCCACATCTTGTGCAGATCCTCATCGGAGACCTCGCCAACACACTTTTCCGCCTTCTCTCTCGTGTAGGGCAAGCACAGGGTTGACCAGAAGGTGTGCGTGAGGTCGAAGAGCGGCGCCAAGTCCGGGTGGCCAGGATTGTCCCAGTCCACGATCAGCAGTTTGCCACACGGCTCCAGCGCCTTGCCAAGCTGTCTTACAATGGCACGGATGTCCTGCTCGTTCCCAATGTGGTGGAAGACCCTGTCTGAGGCCACGAACCCGAATGTGCCGAGGAGGCGCTCGGATGCGAGCTGTTCCTCCAGTGAGGCCGGGTAGGGCCTCTGCAGCTCAAGGAACTTGAAGGCGTTTTTGCTGTCGGCCGACCGCACGTCCTGCACGTCGATGCCAACGTGGTCACTGCCAAGGCCGCACTTGGCGTAATTCGAGAGCATCTCGCCCGGACCGCAGCCATAGTCCAGCATGCGCGTGGAGTTCTTCAGTCCTAACTCCTGGAAGTTTGAGAGAAGCTGCGTGCAGTTGATCTCCTCCTCCTCCTCCTCCTCCTCGCCAACCTTCGAGGACGCCTCCTCCACCTGGACCCCCGCCCCAGACACGGCGAAGTCGTGGACGACCATCCGCAGCTGGCTGACCAGGCCAGCGTCCGTGGCCCCGGGACCCGCGCACGCCTCCACCCACGCCCGAGACAGCCGGTGGGCGAGCGGCTCGGGCCGGCGGGCAGCCACGGGGGAGCCCTGCCCCCTGCCTGCACCATCGACCCGGGCCAAAGGGGTTCCTCAGAGGGGGGGCCCGGAGCGCGCACGAGCGAAGCGAGCCCCTGGCAGCGAACGCCTGCTGGCCCAGATCGACGGGCGGCACTCTGAGATCCGACGCTGCGAAACAATTGCGCGACGTCCCGGAAATCACGACCAGGCTAGACCTCACCTTTCACTCTGCATTTTCCGAGCCAGATCGATCTGTGAGAGCCCCCGGGGCCCGACGCCAGGCGAACGCACCCAGCGCGAAAGAAAGTGCAACGCCTGGAGTTCTCAGGGTATGGGCAGGGGTGGGGCCCGCGCGAGGCTGCCCGGCTGGGCCACCTCCTCGAAGAACGCTCGCGCCTCCCGCGCCAGCGACCCCGCGGCCGCCAGGGAGCACAGGGAGCCCTCGCTTCTGCGGCAACTCGTGGGAGCCTCCCACGTCGTCTTGCTGGCTCTTGCGACCCGATGCTAACCGACGCCAGTCGATGCTAATCGACGCTGGCCGACGCGAATTCCGTGCTGACTGGCGCTGAACTGGCAGTTTCTCACCAGTCATCAGAGACCAGCGCGCGCCAGTGCACCCTGAAAACGGACCTTCGAAGACCTGCGAGATTGTTGTCTGCCATCTTCCGACAACCGTCGTTACTGGGGGGAGACTTTAGAGTCCCGAAACGGTGTGGTGACAGACCGTGCGGTGACCTCGAATCCCCCAAGACCTCACCGCACGGTCCTTCACCGCACGGTCTTAGGACCCTGGAGGCCCCTGTCGCCCGAGACGCCCTCGGAGAACGTCTCGAGTCCCAAAACCGTGCGGTGACCCCGAACCCCCACAGACTTACCGCACGGTGTGGTCACCACCCCGCTTGGGGGCCCCCGAGCCCACTGGCCGATGCGGGTGCCCACCGCAGGTCCGATCGACGATGCTCGGCTCGCCCTCGCCGCCGTTGGCGTGAGCTGGCGCCGCGGAGGAGGAGGAGGAGGAGGAGGAGGAGGAGGAGAGGACGACGAGGAGGAGGAGGAGGAGGAGGAGGAGGAGGAGGAGGAGGAGGAGGGGGAGGAGTGCGGAATGCCTTTTACCCTTGAGCCAGCCAGCGCGGCAGCTCTCTCTCTCTCTCTCTCTCTCTCTCCGCACGCCGCCCTGCCGCGCTGGGGCGACGAGGCGGGGATGGCGCCGCGGAGGGGCGCGCACGACAGGCAGGGAGAAAGGGAAAGAGAAGCGGGAAACCTGACGCACATGACCCCTCGGAGTCCGCAGGCTGATCAGACCTACGTACTGCGTACAAGGATTAGTCTAGCAAAGTGCAATTATATACCACAAAAGGTTCGTGCAATGGCCAGCCCATAAATGTGTAAACCGTCGGTGTGTGTACTGTACTTAGGCG